ACTTGTTTGAAGTTGTTAAGTCCTGGTCCTGTTCCACATTTGTGAGCAGGTCAACAATTTTGGGTGTTCATGTCTCACTGGACTTATTGGTTCATTGTTAGTTCGAACTCTCTAAGGAGAACCATCTATCTGTCGACGGTTCCGGCCTGCATTCGGTTGTCTGGTGTATCCATTCACGGGGGACATCCTGCCGCACACATGAGCCCAAATATATTACAGTGGTAGTCTATCAGGTTATCTAGCCTCCATTAGCACTGTGCCTTATCTAGTCAACGAACATGGATTTTGCTCAAGGAAGTGCATTCCTGATTCTCTATGGACCGAATGTCAACTAAAGTCTCGTTTAAAGTGGTCGATGAAGTGCACCCGGAATGACAAACTACTGGAAACGATTGTTTGGAACGAAGAACAAGCATGATCGCCAAAGGCCTATTTGGATTCGTGACGGGAACTAATAGAGGTGATACTGTGGTGGAAGATAACAGACGAAAGGGGATGGCAATGGACCGAAAAAAGAATGGGATCTCCGTAACGAGAACGACAGGTGCGGAGGAAAGAGATAATGTCTGAGACAATAGTAAAGACAATCTGAAACGAACAAGACGAAAGCTATCGTTCGGAAAACGATCAGTAATTGACTATAAAGACGACACTGGGATAATATAACAACAGAGTTATCAATCAACGTATTGTTATAGCCGATCGAGTAAATCCAGCAGGAGCAGCACTCGCCAACGCTTGACCGAAACTATTAAAGATAAGACAATGATTCACGAAACAAGGAGCAATTGGGAGAATTCAAAGTCGTTCGGACCAAGATATTTCACCGATCAATCTGAGTGCTTATTATGCTGGAACACATTCTTACTCACTTAACTGAACACATTGGCACAAATCCTATTCAAAAGTGCAATTCTCACTAAACAGTCAGAGAACGAGTAAATAAAATAGACTATGAAAAAGAATTGCCAGAATATGAATTACTTTAGCTATTTCGCGTTTGACTATGTTTGGCTATATTTTCAAGAAAACAGTGCACTAGTCAATTACCTGGAAATAATAGGCGTAAGTTGTGCAAAGTGGATCACCTCCCTCTCCTTCAATCCGTTGACGCTTCCGATCTACAAAACAGTAAAAAATTAATTTTCTAACGCTTCTCGAATATCGATTCGAATAATGCTGCATGTATGACTTATGACAAATGTTTGATATAAAATGTTAATCATTAACTAACTGATGCGCAGCATGGAAAGCATGACGTTCC